AGCAGGAATAGTAGACGTGGGTGAAGTAGCCTGGCCCTGGGACCGAGATCTCCGGGACGCAATCCCTTTCTTCATGGGGCAGCCAGAACCCTGTTCTCTGAGCTCCTTTCTCAGCCAGGTGTGCTCTGGGAGGAGGTGTGGTTCTGGACCCAGCTCTGGACCCAGCTCTCACTGCATCATCCGCTGGACCAACACCAGGGCCTCAGCGCATGCCCTCCATACCTCCAGAGTTGGGCTTTCCCAGCATACGCTCCTGGGAGGCCACAGGGTCAACTTGTTTCTGGGGAGCCTCCTTCAGGCACTGGCCATCCCACAGGCATTGTTCAGTGCCCAGGAAGATGGTTTCACTTAGCAGGTGCCTCTAGCGCTGAGAGCGGAGAGCAGGGCATGGCGAGGTGACCTCCAGCTCTGTGCTTGGATTTGCACAGAGGCTGGAGTACCTTAAAGGGCAGCAGGGCCGATTCAATTAAGCCACAGCTGAATGATATGTGGCTTTATGCAATGGAGTAAGTGTCTTTGTGGACAGTGTCAGAAGTTCAGATATCTGTTTTTTAAGCCAATGTGGCAGAGATCCAAAGAGCTCCTGCAGAAGGAGCTGGGAAACAGTGGAAGATTATGTGACTGTTAGTCCTCCGTCTTTCGGTATAATGGCATATTCCACAAACACGAATTTCCTGAGAGCTTGTTATTCCAGGTGGCTGATTGCCAAGCCAGGAGCCCTCCCGTCAGCTCAATCTGTCAGCTTCCTGCTTGAGAAGGGTATGCTAATGACATGCAAATGACCCCGCGGAGCGAGGCGCTCCGCTATCATTTATCCGGTAACCACAGCTACTGCAATATATTGCTATAAAATATTAGACCCAGTTATTTATATAATGATATAATACAGGTTTGTCTACTGCACTGTTGTTTTAATCTATAATTATATAATCTTGCTCTATTCCTGTAATACAGTAATGTAATATAATTAGAATGCACCATATATCTCATCCATTATCAATATAATAGCAATTTGTACCATTAGTGCTTCCTGGGGAACAAAGCACCCTCATGCCTGTCCCCATTACCCTGACCTTCCTGTCACCCTGAATTCTCATCATTGCCACCATGTGGCACAGAAATGGACTTACCCGAAGGGGCTCCAGCAACGCTCCTTGGGAAGCAGAGGGCACTCCTTCTCCTGCACTCTCCACCCCACTGGCATGCACAGTGCGGAAGGTCTACACTGCTGCACCCTGTCCCCGCAAGGCCAGCTGACAGATCAAGGGGACTGAGGAAGGGCTCAGGGCTGCTCAGGGCCCCTCAGGGCCTGACAGCTCCTCCGTCTACTGAGGCTCCCAGGGTGGTCACGTTACCCTGTGCCAGAGCCAGCAGGAAGGCCCTGCCCCAGCCCTCTGGGGAAACCCAGGGCCTTGGAGAAGTGCTCTGGCCCTGCCCGAGAGAAGTGGAGCTTGTCTCTTCCTCTTAGTTGGTCTATTTGATCCTTGAACAAATCCCTGTATTTATCAACAAGTATAAGTTTGCAAAATGAGTAATCAGCGTCTTAGGAGATTAAAAATAGCTGACAAAAGCAAGACAGGATGACGGATCTAGCCTGGTTTACTCCTACATAGAAAATGTCTCCTTTTTCATGTGTTTATTATTGGATGACAGATGATTGGAGGCTGGTGCTTCCGGAAGGCTTGGGGGTACTCATGGTCGTGCAGTGGGCCACGCTGAAGGCCATGAGCGTCAGGACTGATCCGGGTCCGACACAGTATGCATATCCTCACAATCACACGGGGATTCCCCATTATCTCCAAATCAATATGACAATTAAATGTTGTTATGGAGCCATCTCTGGGCTCCACTTGGGGGAGTTAAAAGCCCACAATGAACATTCAGAGTCCGTCTCTCTCTGAAACCATCTTTGCTGTAACATTTGTCAAGTGTCCAATTAGCCACCAAGGGGGGAAAATATACAAACTGAGAAGTGTGGCTTCATGAGCAAAAGATGACACAAGGGAAGATGTGCTTTCTGGTGGCGAAGACAGGTGGTGGGCAAGGGTGCAGAAGGACGTGGGAAGAAGGCCTCTGGTGATCTGAAGTGACCTCCTGGGTAGTCATCTGGGGTCGTCACATGGCACTCTGGGCACATGCTTCCCCAGAGGCAGGACGGAGCTGACTCATGAAGCATTCTGAGCCTCCCTAGAGTTTCCCCACTGGGTGTCTGTTCACTTCAGACCAGTCCCCCTGGCTCAAGGGGGGGACTGCTACCATGTCAGTATGCCTCCTCACCTGGACGTGATGGAATCAAGAAGGTACAACTTGGGAACCAGCAGTTAGCGTAATGGCTATGTCGCTGGACTCCCACATAGTCGACCGTGGTTCGCGTCCTGGACCCGGTGGCTTAAAACTCACGCCGGGCGTGTGTGCGTGCGTGCCCAAGATCCCGAGAGGAGAATGGAGGAGAAGGGATTGCAGCGTGGCCACCCCCCTGGGGGGTGATTTCTTGCTTTTTGTTGCTCTCTCTCTGTCTGTCTGGCGAGTGCACGCGCCCTATAGCGAAAAAAACCTCTCCAAGAAAAAAAAAAAAAAAGAAGGTACAACTTCATGGGATTAAGAGGTGAGGCTTTCAGGAGGTTAGGGCGAAGGTCAAGGGTGGGGCCCCTGAGATTGAATCCTCGGGGGGTTATAGGGAGGGGCAATGAGACAGACACACAGACACAAGAGCTCCCCTATATGACATCTGTGCCACCTTGAGACTGCAGAGTCCTCACCAATAAGAAGATCCTCACCAGATGGGGCCCTGAACCTCGCACCTTCAAAACTGTGAGCTAAAGAAACCTCTGTTCTTGTGAATCTCCCAGTTTCAGGCACTCTGTTATTAAGCAACAGAGAGCCAACTAAGTAAGATACCCCAGGGAAGTGCCTGCCTCCAGCCAGTTACCCTCATGCTATACCTGACCCTACACAGTGGCCTCGGGGGGACACCAGCTGGGCGTCACCTAGCTGAGGGCAGTCTGACACACACGAGTCAGGTTCACTGGCTATTTCCTTCTGGAGAATTCTAGAAGGTTGTCCAGACCGGGCCCCAGTTTGTGTTGCTTGCGTGTGGTGACCTTTCTCTGCATTATGAGCAGATCCCATTGGGATGGAGGGACGGGGGAGCTCCCCGGTGTGCTTGGCAGTGACAAGGCCCAGCACAGCCACAGCCTGGCCATTGGCCCCAGCTTTGCCCCCAGACCCCAGTGCGTCTCTGGGCTGTGCTCACAGTCTGACACATTCCCTAGCACGCGGCCAGACAGAGCAGCCTTGTCCTGTGCTTTTCTGTGGCTGGCTCATGGACCTCCAGCCTGTCTGACACTGACACGATGGGATGTGAGGACAAGAGTGCCCCCTCTCTGTGACCGGGGAAGCAGATGCCCTCCTGCTGGCTGCCTCACAGCCCCAGCCCTCTCCAGTGGGTTCGAGAGCCTGCACCTTCTGCTCCCCCAAGTGGTCCAGTCCAGTCCGTTACCACTGGGTGGGTGCTGTGCGAGTTTAGCTCTCGGTGACTGTGGCTCCATTACCTCTCCACGTGGTCCACGTTGCCCGCCACGCCTAGTCCCCCAAGGGTGTAAATCTTCCCATCGTAGACCAGGCTATTATGCCGGCAGCGAGGCACTGTCATTCTGGAGACGAGGTTCCAGTTATCGAGCAGCGACATGTAGCACCAGACGTCAGCCAGCGTCACCCCCGATTCCATCCCACCTGCAGGCAGTACGAGAGGCACACAGGAAGAGCCTGAGGTCATCGGGTCTAGCCCAGGGCCAGGGGGAGAAGGCTTCCCTGCAGAGCAGACCTTCGGGTCTTGGCCATCCTCAGCTCTGGCAGGTGGGACGAGGTCTGCAGGGCTGCTGGTACCAGTCCCCACCCCCTTCAAGGGGCCTCACCTGAGAGGTAGATGTTGTCCCCGGCACTCACTACGCTGAAGAGCTCGCGGTCGTAGAAAGGCAGTGAGGCCAAGGGGTACCACTTGTTGTTCTGCGGGTTCCAGCAGGTGACGGCCACCAGCGAGCGCTGGGTCATCCCCACCATCTGACGGCCCCCCACCAGAACGATGACCTCGGCCACACCTGCAGGGACATGGATGGGCACCTTGGGACTCAGCGGGGACGTCGGCATTTGTGCCTGGCACGTCTGTGGGCAGCTGCCCGGAGTTGGCTGGGAACCTGCATCTGGGGGTGCTTGGGGCATGTCCCTCAATACCTGCCGAGAGGCGGGGCCGGGTTCGGGGCGTCTGCATCTCCTGGCGGGCATGGGGCAGCATATGGTAGCGTTTGGCCTCGTTGACCAGGTCGCGGCAGGCTTCCGATGACTTGATCAGCTCCTCGTTGTCAACCACATTGAGCAGGTAGCTGGGGTGGATGAAGGGGAGGCGGACGACGGCCAGGAGCTCGGCGGCGTACTGCAAGGTAAGGGGACACGGGGTCTTCTCAGGTGTCAAGGTGGCTGGGTTGCATGAGGAACAGGCGGGGGCACTGCACAGAGGGATGAGGCAGCCTGCACTTCGCTGGGAGGCCAGAGGCTCAGCCCAGCCCAGCCCAGGCAGAGTTAGAGAGCCGGCAGTGGGAGGTGTGGACGGGAGGGCTGGGGAGGCGGAGCTGTAGTGAGCCCTGGGATGGGCCAGCCTTCCACCCCATCTGCACCACATTCCCCCCTCCTCCCAGGTTGTAGGCTTCTGCTGGTACAGGCTGCTGAGAGAGCCCAAATGAGGAGGGCATGATCTTTGAAGAGCTGTGGGTGCTGCAGGAGCTTGGGAGTGTAGGGAGGGGGGTGCAGAAAAGCTTTAGGGAGATGGCAATCATCAAGTTTGCATGTTCCAAACAAGGAGGTCATGGGGCTCCACTGGGGCATGTGGGGCCATGGTATCCCATGTCCCTCAACACTGACGACTCCGTGCGTGGTGTATGATTGCCTCCAGCTGGCTCCTGGTCCCCTCCCCTTGCACTGAAGGTTTTGGGGGGACAAGAATCCCGCATTAAAACCCTTCATTGGGGGACCAGCAGTTAGCGAAATAGCTATGTCGCTGAACTTCCATGTAGTTGACCACGGTTTGCGTCCTGGACCTGGTGGCTTAAAACTCATGTGTGCGTGTGTGCCCAAGATCCCGAGAGGAGAATGGAAGAGAAGGGACTGCGGCGTGGCCATCCCCCTTGGGGGGTGATTTCTCGCTTTCTGTCTCT